GAAGGCACGGAAGTGTCCTCCTACGATTTTTATGAAACTTCGTATGTCTGTTAAGCAGTCAAAAATAAGGGATACATATTTTTTTTAGCGGCTGAGACGCGACTTTAAGGGGTGAAACCACCCCTCGATGTTTCGACCCGAAAGTACTACATATCTCGAAAACCAAAGGAGATACATAAAAACTTGTAATGGACGAGGTTTGCGGTTTTTTATGTAGAATAATATGGTGCTAACAAATTGTCCAAAAATAATTTGTTTATAACAAAAAAATTTCGGATCGAAACTTCGAGGGGTGGTTTTACTCCTTAAAGTTGCGTCTCAGCTGATAAAAAAAATACGTATCCCTTATTTTGGACTGCTTAACAGACATACGAAGTTTCATCAAAGTCGAAGGGGGACACTTCCGTGCCTTCCCTTGTAAATCTAGCTGTCCCAAGAGTTAACAAATCGGAGATATAGTCAGGGACAAAATTGAGTGGACAGTGTGGACACCCTAGTATTATGAATAAAAAAGTCGTAATTCAGTGATTTTTCCTAATTAGCGTTACAATCCATTTGTCATTTCTTGCTGTAGTACACCGTTTACGACTACGACTGATCAATTTCGCCACAGTATTAAATTCTAACGCTTGGATTTGAAACGAAATTTCTTTTTGATTTTCCATCTTTATATTAAACGAAAAATTTCCGAAAAACGATGAGACCAGTATGACGAGAACATCAACACCGACTGGAATTCGAAACATTTATTATAAACATATTTGAAGCATTATAACATCTACACCAGTAGTCCACACAATGTTGTACACACTACTTTATTTGGCTTAAGCTTGTAAATACTTTTAGTCAAAACGAACTAAATTATTGCATAAACTAGTTTACAAAATTTGATTATGAATACGTGACCTACAATGATAAGTAAAAATATAAAACATTAATTAGGATAAAATATTAAATTACAACCTCTTTTCTTCTAACACTCGGGTGTCCTCTCAATTTTGTCCCTGACTGTATTCGTAGAAAATGGCTTGTTTGTCCACGCGCGCAGATATTGTAGCGTAATGCAGCGCTAGACAAGATTGACTCCCAGGAGCTAAACGCTGTCCCCACCATTATCCACTGTTCCCCATGGAGTAACAGGGATAAGACTCTGAGCTTCTTTGTCTCGACGAAGGTACACGGCGCGAAAGAACGGTTGGAAGGAGAAACAGACTTGTTAGGGGTCCTTACGCTGCCCAGTGCTGGCGTAATCTAAGGAACTGGCGTCTCGTAACCAGCTGTTTCAAATGACCCATTAACCGACTCCCGCCTAGAAGAGCACACAGTCTAACAAGACCCATTCACCCGTGATCCATAAACCTTCCCGAAAACAAAACAGCATCGGGCTATCTGCCACTTTTACGAAATTTAATGTTTCACACTCACAAAACAAGTTGTTTTTGTACTACTATTCGGTGGAGAAAAAATATTCGATCCATTTGGTAACACTTATTCGTTCGTTCGACTCTCACAGATGCATCGTGTCTGGGAGAATCCTTGGGTATTCAGAGGATACGTACAGCTTTCTGGGACAGCGGAAGTAGTGTAGGCCAGGGATCAAATTAAAAAAAAATTCAAAGTACACGCTGTAATGGGCGCTTAGCTATAACGGTCTTAGTGGCTAAAATATTTATTATTTGACCCTTTACAAAAAGTTTGCCGACCCCTGGTCTAGGCCAGGGTTTTTTAACAAGACCTGTTTGTGTTTTTTGTGTTATTGACTGTATCACAATTTTTCGACTAATTTTAAGGTGTAGTTATACAGGGTGTCCAAAAAAGGTGGGACAATCCGGAATATGCATATTCCTTATGCAAATACAAATCGAAAAGTCCATTATCGTTTTATACTTTGAAGCTCTATTTCCGAGATATTAACAGTTAACTCTTTGCACTCGGAATTTCTAATTTTCCATACATTTTGTCGCGTCAGAGGCGACAGTCGAGTGCAAAAGGTTAAATGAACTCACACGTGGAGGAGAGTGGGGTTATTCCGAACGCAATGGTTAAGAATTTCTTAACAAGACTCCTTATTCGAATAAGGTGAACTTAAGACTTCGTGTATTCAGAGTCAAAACTTAAGACGGTCTTATTGTATAAGTAGATGGTTAAGAAATTGTTAGTCAAGCAAATGCTTAAGCAATTCCTTATTACCTTCGGCAAACGTCGGAAACTTTCCGTTGTATCACCTAATGAGAAATGGATTTGAAAATGCATCAGCATTGTGTTCCGTTATTCATTTCACTTATTAATTAATTACTTAACTGTTACCATGTTCATATGTAATTCTCTTTTGTTTCTGTGCTGTTGTAATAAAAATGGCTACAAAAAAACATTACAGCGATATTGAAAAACGTTTATTTATACAATTTATTAGAGTACAGTCATGTTATTAAAAAAAAATGAGTAACAATACCACCTTAAAAGATAAAGAATATAAGATGTTTGAGGGAAATTATTGAAGATTCAAGATTAACAAAGTTTACTGATTCTGTTGAAGTTTTTTTAACAAAAAGATTAAAGGTTAAAAGTTTTTAATTGAAATATGCACACTGTACATACTGGTTTGGATGAAATATCAATATTATGGTAAAAATTAAAAAAGAATTAAATATGAAAAAATATTGTTTATTATCGATAAAATTATACAGTTTAGTGTAATTCAAAATTACTTGAAAATATAATCCATTCTGTTTGTTTTCTTCATTTCGTTAAATTTGTTTTTCAAATAAGATATTATAATTAATTTTACCGTTGATTTATCATTAATTTTTCCTTCAAATAAATTGCAATTTCATTTTTTAATTTTTTTTATACGATACGACGAAGTACATCCAATACAAGACATATTCTTAAGTTGTGTCAAACCTCGACTTGAAATGTAACCTAACTTTTGAAGAGTGTCTCAAGGTCGCCTTATATCCCGAATAAGAAGTTCTTATTTGACTGTGAATACATACGTTCTTAAGAAGTTCTTCAGAACTGAATGTGAATTACAATTCAAATAAGAATTCTTTACTAAGTAAATGCTTCATGAATACCGCCCACAGTGTGTTAGAAAACGAAAACTGATCTTCTCCCTCCATTAGCTGACAGTTTATCCCGTATTCAGTGCTGGGAAGAAAGTAATAAACAGAGGTCGCGCACGCCGTTCAAAATAAAGAAAATTTATTATTTTCATCGTTTTTCAACTAACATTTTGTCCATTTTCAATTGCATGCAGTTACTGTTGCATTAATGATACAATTTCGGATTTATTCAAGTTGAAATAAGTACATATTAAACAACATTTTGGGCGGTATTCACAGTCGCTTCTTATTCTTAAGCATTTGCTTAAGTTCCGCCTAGATTCATAGTCGGGAAATAAGCTTTTACTTAAGAATTTCCTTAAGCATTTACTTAAGCGGCTACCGAAAACTGAACCATGTGTTACCAACGTAACTTATGGGCAAATGAAAGATGCAACAGTGGTGAAAGTACATCCAGAGACTTTCTGCGCGACTTATGTGATAATTAGTTTCTATTGACACTCTGTTCGTGATAACCCCATGCTGTGTTCGTGATTACTCCACGGCAGTCAGGTAACCACGAACACCAAGGGTTTCGTTTTTCGAATAGAAGGTTGATTTTTATTACAATTTTTTCAAAATTGAATATTGTAGTTTGTAGATGAATAGTTTAAGTATGATTATAAGTAATATACAAATTCGTATCTCACTCAGCTTTCGTTCTGCTTGTTTTCTTGCTTAGGTGTTCATAATTACCCCACTCTCCTCTACGCGCAGACACAGTCAAAAAGCAAAGGCTAGTAACTAGTGAGTTGGGTCGTACGCTTCTTGTCTGAGTTTGTTCGTGCGTGTGACTCGCCGCTCGACCAATTGGAGTTCGTTTAACTGCTAATATCTCGGAAATGAAGCTTCAGATTACAAAACGGTACAGGACTTTTCGTTTTGTATTTACATGAGGAATATGCATGTTCCGGATTGTTCCACCTTTTTTGGTCACCCTGTATACTGGAAACTTGAAGGCAGATCAGATACAATGCGGTGGGATATTTTAATTTCGTTCGATCTTCCCTATCACCCGTAAAAGTATTTAAATCCATTTTTTACTTCTAGGTTTAAAAGAATCAAGCCTATGATTAATTCTCTGTCAGCCTTCAGGATATTTAAAATAAAATATTTAAACTTCAATATTCTGAACCTATTTAAATTAAAGAAACGAAACTTATTTATGACTTTATCGAATTTCCCTAAAGTTTTCCACCTTTTTTGATTTCTGTCTTTATACTTATTAGAACATATTATCGTTAATATTTAAATAACAATAATGATAAAAATATATTGAAATTGGTTACCAATTACTAAGTATAATAGTCATTGAAAATATTTAACAGATTAATTGGAAGGAGTTTTCAATGAATTTAGACTGAATAAACAAAAACGGAAGTTATTTATGATTCAACTTAATTCATTTATTTTTTTCAAAAATCCCAATCATACAATTCTATGTGTTTATGTTTATCATTAAGTACTATGAATGTTTATGCAGAGGTACACATTTAGAAATTTCGAGAAAACAAAATTGAACAGAATTTTCTTTCCTATATTAATACTGTCGGCGCATTAAAAATAAGAGAAAACTACTAAAGATGATTAAAGCTTGTATTTTATTGCGTCTTAAAGACTTTTATAACCTATAAATGCATAAAGATTCATAGTTTATGTATCATACAAAGTGTACGCTTGATTTTCTTATCTTATTTAGTCGGAGTCTTTGCTTTACCACTGTGTACTATATTACTAATGGTATATTATATTATAGTGACTGATTAGGTTAGGCTCAATAACAGCCATGAGTCAAACTAATTTTCCCTCCTGCTCCAAAACAGTTTCTCATTGGCACCATGTTTTTCTCTCATTTCCCGCTTAGAATTTCTCGAACCATACTATCGTGATATAACTATACACGTGACTAATGAACGGACGAACGCGATTGTAAATTTACTAACCTAAAACACCTGCCGACGGTGACCCATTTCGGAGCACGACCAACGACGACATTTTTCAAGATCCTGGCGCTGCAAAACTTCACCAAAATACTCGAGCTCATTTCGAATAATGACAATCCGATCGGTCAATAACACAGTGATCACGACCGTCAATTTTTGTTTTCCTTCCACCGGAAGATCAATATCCGAATGATTCACTCGTCGAGACACGCACCTATTGCTCGAAGCAAATAAACGTAATACAATGGAAATATACGTTAAACTGGTAGAGAAAATGAGAAAACCTTATTGATTTTTGGTTTTATGGAGAATTTAATATCTATTATATTTATCCGTATAGAGCGAGAACTTGCCCCCGTTGCTCGAAATTTATGGAACTTCGACACTGGCGACGAGACGCAAATCACACAAAAGATCAACGGACTCTCGACTGGTCCACCATAATATAGAGCGGCAGGTATATACCATTTACTTGCACACGTATCCCTTCCATCAAATTCCAATGGGAACGTCGGTTCCAGCATGCTCCGAGTAAATTTTCGGCCGGTAACTTTCCCCTAACCGAAACTCTCTCGTTTGTGGCCCGTCTGAGTGGTGTTCTCCTTCCCTTCCGGAATGTATTGTACCTTATATTTTTCTATTGCCTCGACTTACATAACCTCTCTTGATACTAAACTAATACCCATGAAACATGAGGACTGGTATTGTATTGGATTGGCGTATGTACATTGGCATTTCAAATTGTGGGAATTTAAATGAGAAATTTCTTTCTTTCTAATCGTGTTACTAGATCGAAATAATTGACATCAGCTTAGATATATGATATATGCTTGTCGATGATTATTTAAGGTGTTCGTGAAATATTGTACAGAAGTTACTTATTTGAAATACAAAGTGGAAAATAATATTTGACGTAATGAATCGTTTAAATTGATTTTACTATTTTTTATCTTAACCCTTTCATTCCCACTGTTGCCATATGGCTACGTATTCTAAATTACGAAATAAAATATTATTATCATGTGTTTTTTCATATCTGTGAGTATACAATTGTTTCTTCCATGTAGTCTTGTGTAAACGGTATGGCACAAATTTGAATGTGCATTTGACAGTATATCAGTAAAATAAGACATTATTAATCCTCCGTCTCTCTCATTTGATGGAATGCAACTGTTGAGCATTGTTAAAAATACAATAGAAACTTACAAAACTCTAATTTCTTTCAAATATTTCAAAAACGTTTATTGATCAACGGTCAGAAAAAAGAACTTTATTATGTATAATAGTATTATAAAAGTAAAAAAGTTGTCAAATGGTAACGAATAATAAATGGCATTAGACGATTTCAAAATGTAAAAATGTTCTTGTACATAATTTATGTCAAATAGTGTACACAAAAATATAACAAAATATTCCTTTGATAATTTTTAAATAAGTTGGAAATGAAAGGGTTAAAAGCAATTTTATTGTGTATGAAAATTGATAAATAAATTATCATTAAATCACTTTTCATTACAATCGATTGTATCGAATTGTCTGAAATATAATTTCATTTTGAATTGTTCAAATTAATAAATCGTTTCCAATTACCGTAAATATTAATAATAAATTCGTGACTCGACTACGAGAAATATATTTTCTTAGTAAAAAGGTGTATATTTATAAGACTTATAAATCTTTAATTGACCTCGTGCATACTTTAAACGTAACTTATTCTAGAGATAAAATTGAGAATACAATAAAGTCGTTTTGCGATCTAGCGTGCTGTTTGAGTTTAAAAGATAAGTAACCGCAGCTACTTGCATAAGAAATACGTAAATCTGTAACGTACTTGCGATATATATAGTTTTAATGTTTATCTAATTTCGTTCTGGGAAGGAAAATTGTTACGAAAAATGTACGGCATACTCATTGAAAAACAAAAGAAGACTTTAAAATAGACTACATCGTATTTTTACATTATCTATATATATAAAGTTTGAACTGTTTCGAAGCTGGTCGAATAAGTATTACATTATATATTATATTACAATACAGTCGTTACTTTCCCACCAAATCAGTAATTAAGGATTGTTTTGCTATGCAATAATTTTATCTCTTATGAATATTCTGATTTCAGATATTTCGTGCGTCAGATGGCCATATTAAAGATAAAGGGCCTTTTTCAAGATTCTAGCACAACATTATAGTCAAGAAAACTTTGTTCAAAAGTTCTTAATTTCTTAACAATAAGTCAACAACAAAATAGCACGGTATTTCGCAATTATTTTGGGAATTGAAATCCAACTATAGTTACAGCGCGAACGGATCACGATTCATTAACATTTGGTGCATATTTTCAAATTTTTGTTTTACATGTTAAGAACTGAATACGTATGAATAATAAATGATAACACCTTATCAACCAGAAGTATCCAACAAAATGAAACCATTGCACTATCTACGATCTATACTTTTATGTGCATAAATCGAATTTTTACTGAAGGATTATAAATTGCTTGCTCCATTATAGACCAATTGTAAATTAAAAGCAGTGCAGATTCTATGTACAAAACACGATGAAATAAAGACATAAACAGCGATTTAATAAAGTTTTTTTTATCTTTTAGGTCAATAAGCCCATTAATTAACCGTATATATCTTTCTCCGACTCTGGCTTTTGAGTTTGCATAATATGTAGACCGTAGCTTAATTATGATAATCAAGCCTCTTGATTATAAAGTTTTCAGCTCATCGTACTTAGCACATTGATATACACTATAATTGCACAGAAACCTTAATAATACTAATTATAAACGAACACTTCAAGTGAATACGGTCATCCAACGAACTCTATCTCAAGAACCAGTCACTATGTTTAGAAAGAAAATTAGTAATACAATCTCTGTTGCTTGAATAAGAAATAAAGTAGAACAAATTCTGTATTACACAAATCTAACCGCAGATAAATAAAATAGATCACGATTATGAGTACCTACACAGTCAACGTTAAGGTGGATGTAAACATAAACGAGTTTATCGGCTGTTCACGTAATCGAACGTGAGAGCATTTAAGCACCGGCAGACCTTCTCGTAGTCTGAGGACTTTTCATCGCGGGGACGAATTAATTTATTTGATACGTTAATCAGATCGTGAAACCGGTTCAGCTCATAACCGTGGACTAGTAGTAGCTGTCCACGATTACCGTGAGATCATTTCAAACTGCGTATACACACGAAGTAATCTAAGTCACTGAATAAATTGGCTGTTCCGCAGGAGACATAATCTGTGACGCATACTGATTAAGAAAAAATGTACATTCACATGTCGGTCTTTTACAATAAATACGTTAAACAAAATCAACGAGGCAAAGAAAAAATATGCCATTAATTTTTGGGTTAATTAAAGGTTGCTAAACACGATGGTGGTTTTAGTTTTTTCCCTACATGTCACAAAAAATATGGGGTAGATGTCCCAATTATGTACTGCCACCTGAAGATTTTAGCGTAACTTCATTTAATCATTTTACGTGTTGTTTAACCTGAAAAATGTCTCAGTTTGGAACATAATATTATTTAACATCTCTTTCGTTCAAAAAAAATAGTCTTATACATTTAGTAGAAAGAATTAATCATTAAATAATTAAAATCTGCGGGTAATCATAGTGTCCCCATAACTGTCATCTCAAAAAGTCTTTTTTCAGTATGATTTCACCATTACTTGCTATTTAGGTAATCGCGTTTTTGTCGCTGAAATAGCATTTTCATTTTGAACATTAATTTTTAAATATTAGGTACATACAAGTACATGTTTTTATTTATTGTTATGTAAATCAGAGTCCCGATTTAATAATACAATTGTTTGTAAACAATTCTTTACATGTTACGTTAATGTTATATGTTATATATGTTACCTTTTTATTAAGTAAAATAAATAAACTCACAGTATTAGGGATATAGGCAGTAATTGGGACATTTACCCTATACAGTTCTGCTGGATTGTCTGTCCATTGCATTCCGTTTCTACTTAGTACCATGAACACACGCGTTTTAGATTCTATTTTCAGCGTCGATTTTCTCGAAAATGAAGTCTCGAATGAAACATTTTTATTTTATATTTTCAACTTATTTTTTCACGTAGAATCACCCCTCCCCGGTTGTACTATCAATTACGACGCCCTGTATTATTTACAATTTAATTAAAAAAAATCCTTACGTATAGGATCAAAAGTAAGATTACCATTAAAGTCAGCAATTAAACATCAAGTAAACGAAACTAGTTTCACTCCATCATTTCAAAATTTTCACAATTTTGTTGGACTCTGTTATTATTTCCAAAACAAATCAGTGATCCATATTACCACGTTTTCCAGTAGTAATCATTGTTTTTATCACAATCAAATCTATCCAGTAACAACCTACATTTGTATCAAAATAATCGATAAGTCGATATCAAAACGCGATTACTCGATAGTCGAAGAATATCATCAGACTGCTCGATCTGTTCCATTTTTGACCCAGTTTCGAAACGTATTCATCCAGTAAGGCATAATCGATCGATTTTGTTTACCAAACGCTTAATTAACTTTTTTGTTTACTGGTCGTCTGCATGCCGGGACGTAACGCACGTTGTTTTCTACTCGCGAGATATCTATACTTATCGTCGTTTACGGAACGCCTTGGCCTTGACTCCGATAACGAGTTGCGTGTCAGCGAACGCGTGGCTCGCTTCTTTCCCCGATTTCTTTCACTTTCTTATCCCGTGACACGCGTTGCTATCTCGCTCAGAAAATATGTATTTACACGATTAGTAGAAAAATTTTTGAAAATATTATCAGATCGTCCGGAAAGTTCGTATCGGTTCAGACGGTAGAATTGCTGTCTACGATTTGCAATTTCTATCCTATTTCGCGAGCGAATGTGGTTTCCACTTCTTTTTACAGATTCTTATTTTTAGACAGTTTTATTATAGCGGTCACATAAAATTGTTGCGTGCTTCTGTTTGCAAAACACTGTAACACTCCGGCGGTCGCGGTGTATTCGAGAGATACAATAACTGAATAGAAAATTTCATAAAGGGCACATTTTTGGAAAAGTAAATTTTTCAGGGAGATAAAAAAAATCGAATTCTGTCAATAGTGAAGATAGCAGGAAACCTGTAATTTGAAGAGAGTAATTGGGACCCTGTGGCAATTGAATGACAATACAATAGACTCTAACTTTAATGTCACTTTCGGGGCTGTAGGAGAGTAAATAAGAGCGTACGCAACATGATGGGAGAACGAATGTGTGTGCGCGAAAGTACGTGTGAAGGGGAAGTGACTCATATGGCAATATTTTCAGTGGCACTAAAGTTAGTTTACTGTACTGTGATCCACGTGTCAAGATTTGTTGACTGTGGACAAATGTTTCAATTTTTCCGAGATGTGCCCTTTTCAAAATTGAAATCTTTCCAAGGTATATTTAATCAGAATTAAATAATAATGACTGTCTTTACTATCACGATATAATGTAGGTAACAAAATCACTGAATACATTATAATGAAACTTAAAGATTATTTAAAAAAAATTAAAAGTTACTATGTGAAAGTTATGGATTAATAAGTATCAAGTTCGTCTTCTTGTATTATTTTTTTTTCACTGTAACAAAAATGGATCTGCAACTGCATTTGGATTACATTTTTGTAAGAAAGTAACATTGCCCAAAAATCGAAGATATGCCCTTTTCGAAATTTCCTATTCAATTGAAAACTAATTATAGGTCTTTTTCCTCTATTTTTATATTTTCCAAGAAAGAATGCTTGACACATTCGTTTTCATATTCTGTAACGCCGATAGAAAGTACGTATATACCTTGAACCTTCTGAACGTACTGCAATAATATCGTTTTCATCTACGAAATTCATTTTCAAACTTATCTTTCGCGTGTATCTATCAGATCAATTGCGACCTCCGAGAGTTAATATGTTTTTAATCGATTTCATAAAGCTTGAAAAATTATGTGTAACGTAATATGCAACGGTGACCTAAGCGAATGATTATCCTAATGGAGTAATGTCTGGTAAATCGAGTAAATGCTACAAAATTTCCTCATCAAAGTGCTATATAGTTTTATTAAAAATACCACTGTAGTAATTATTTTCACCAACCAATCGTTTAGAAACACAGAGGTGTAAGTCAATCTTAATTGATTAATTCGCTTCTGGATTGTATAAAATACTTTTTTGTACTTCAATTTTCATACACAGATATTTTTTAACAGTTTTCTGAACCTACAGATGTGTTTTTACAACTTTAATATGTGTATGGGGTTTTTGTTAAATAATAAACGTAATCCAGAAAATCTTCGATGAAAGTTCGAAGGGTCCCCGGCACTGACAAGGAGAAGTTCCCAGATGTAACACTGACTTTTTACTGACGTTTAGTACAGTGATAGAGCTTGGAATTCTGAAGCCAATGATATTTGTTTCAGCCGTATATGGCCATTAGTTTATGAGATATTTAATGTTTAGTGCCGAGGAGCTTTCGAGCACTCATCGGGAATTTACTGTACGTACACCATGTTACGCAGAATATCACGACAGTATGACTTACTCCATTATGATTCTCAACCCGCCATATATGTATATCAGTAGATATCAGTCGCAACTGAAATGCAGTTTTGTACTCGATCGTAGGTACTTTTTGATTTGTATTTCTCAAAAACAAATTCCAGAAGTACTACACATAACTCGAATAGAGCATACGTGCGAAATGTGTATTCGAAGACAATGCACGTTCACCGTATCAGTTTTCTATTTCTCAAGTGAAAATAACAATAAAGTTACTGGATATGAAACGGCACGACTTTTCCCGACGACCTAATATATTATATTTCTCTGCCACTTTCCGTCGATCGATAACGATAATCCGATTTTATTTGTTTGCAGTGAACATAACACGTTCGTCGATGATAAGGAACGAACGATAAATAACTCCATAGATTGTCACCAATTAATAACATCTCGTGCCTACGATATCACCGCGTATCTGTGATGTCACTGTGATCACTTTGTCTCATCGTATCGTGGATATGTTCGACTTTAATTGTCTCTTCAACGTTTTGCAATAATCGGTCCCCGTCTCTATAGTGGTTACTGTCGTCTCGTTTTTAGTGGTCCTTTACCAGAAATACCCACTATGCAGGGTGTAACAAAAATACCGGAGAACCCAGAAGTAGGAAGCTCGTGAGATGATTTAAAACAAGTTTTTCCTTAGCAACAATGTTATATGAGGCTTTGTTAACAAGATATTAACGAAAAACCCCGACCAATCAAA